GGTGGTGTGTATGAAGGATCGAATGCTCCTTTGGTTGTAGAGATGGTGCTGGGGAGGAAGCACGGCCAGGTCAATCCGCTTGGACGGGAGTTTTTGTAGACGTTGCGGCGGTGCCGGGCACGGGGTACGACAGGAATTATCGGCCTTTGGAATCCTCCGAGAAAAAGTTGAGAGTCTATCCGCTCAGCGAGATAGCAATCAATTGGCGATTGACCCTGTTGAGCACGATGGGGCTTGCTGCGAGGCTTGCTGTCCAGGCCGGAGGAGCATCGCGGCCGCGGACGAGTTCGCCGAGAATTTCTGAAATCTCGGGCATGTTTGCATATTTTGCATCCCATTCTCCACGCATCCTCCGTAGGGTGTCTGCACAAATGCAAACCTCTAAGCATAACAAGTAAATGATGGTCATTAATGAATGCAATATTTGGTGTGTAACTATGTGTTTATATGTAACATGAAATGGACCGCCCACTATTTTATGCCACTGAAATCCTAATAACACCGACGCCCAACGCATATTGTAGAGTAGAGATGGACCAATGGCCGAGGGATCGCGATATGCTCCCATATACACAGAAAAAACCAAACGCTCCGATGTCTGTTGCCCAACCATACCCTGGAATCAAGGCCAGAACACAGTGTTCACTCTTGTAATATTCCATACGCGAAACCGAGATGTAAAACTGTAGGAAGAAGTCCTTCGCCACGCCTTGTGCTCATATACCAGTAAAATAGACGTCTTAAATCAATCATTCACGCATCGCCATATTCAATGGATCCTCGGCCGTAAACAATCATACAAAGCGGGGGCACCAAGCTCACTGTGCCACTTGCTCCTGGTCCGGGGTATCTACACCGTTAGAACGTTCTCCGTTCTCGGAGTTGTTGTCGCTGAAAGAAGCCTTCTTAGCATGGAACTTCTCCGCCGAATGCTCCGAGATGCGAGTCAGTTCGGTCACGAAGGACTGGCCCCAGAAAGCACTAGAAACATGGTCAGTGTCAAAGCTCCTCGTCATCTCAAGTATGATCGAACCTTGTATATTTATTGACATATTTGTCGAGCTTGGAGAAGTTGAGGGCCCTCTGCTCGTCGCTCATGGTTACCGCTTCCTGATAAGCACCCGCCAGCTCTTCGGTGTTCCAGGGGTTGATAATGATACTGCCGTTCAGGCTCTGAGCGGCACCCGCGAACTCGGAAAGCACCAAGACACCATGACGCTTCTTCTGTGTGGCGATGTACTCATAGGCAACGAGGTTCATTCCGTCGCGGGTCGACGAAACAATGCAGGCGTCGGAAACCGCGTACAGAGCAATTAGCTCGTCAAAGTTGACAGACTTGTGCAGGAAGTGGATAGGCATGAATTCAACGGTGCCTGATCATCCGTCAGCGATAGGGTCTCTTTCAAAGGCAACGCGAAACCTACCAAATTTGCCGTTAATCCGGCCCACCAACTCATTAACAACAGCTCTCAAGTTCTGGTATTCTTCCACATCTTGTCGACTAGGAACAGCAACCTGAACCAGGACAACCTTGCCAACCCACTCCGGATGATCGCTAAGGAACACCTCAAGGGCATGCAATTTTTGGGGGACACCCTTGATGTAATCCAAGCGGTCCACACCCACCATGAGTTTCACGCCCTGGAATTTTTGTTCCAGCATCGCAATGCGTTTCTGGACCTTCTCCTTCTTCAACCCCTCTTCAAACTTCTCCGGGTCGATGCCGATAGGGAAGGCACCGCAGGCAATGATCTTGCCCTGGAACTCAATCCCATTAGGTGTAGTTGTTAAGCCCCTAGGTATCCGTGATATTAGCACCTCCATTGCCTTTGAAGAGGATGTAGTCAATCCAGTACATACAAGAGTCGCGAGCAAGCACTCAAGAAGTGCCTAGTGTAGTCGTAGGTATGGAACCCGATCAGGTCGCAATGCAGAACACCGAGCAACAACTCGTTCCGCACTGGGAGAATTCTGTAGATCTCGCTGCTAGGGAAGGGCGTGTGGAGGAAGAAGCCAATCTTGACATTTTCCTTGCTATGGCCGATCTCCTCGCGCAGCATCTCGGGAAGGAGCATCAAGTGATAATCATGCACCCAGATCAAGTCGCCATCTTGAACTTCCTTCGCAACCGCTTTGGCGAAGAGGCGGTTGGCCTCCTTGTATGCCTCCCAGGCGGACTCGTCAAAGGTAATCTCACCGGGATGGTAATGGAAGAGGGGCCAGAGAATAGAGTCTGTAAGCAGTGGGCATCTGTCAGCAAGCAAGCGCCTTCAGCCGGGATCAATGAGGGAGCAACCATCACAGATCCTCAGTATAATAAGTAGGTTGATAATACTAACTAGAGAAGCCGTTGTAGTGACGATCTGCCAGCTCGTCATCAATGAACACTGGCACAGCGTTATACTCCTGCTTCAGACGTTGCTTCACGACGGGAATCTCCTCCTCCGGGACCTCCAAACCGGGCCAGCCGTACCATTGGAAGGTCGTGGACTTGGACAGGCCACTCAATCCGCTGACCAGGCCACCGGAGGACATGGAGAAGTCATAGCGACCATCATCCGATCGCTTGATGGTGATTGGGAGCCGATTGGAGACGAGGAGCAACCGAGCCTCACTCTGGAAGTTGGGGTTCTCAAGGGAAGGCATGCTGTCGGAATTGGCGGGGCACCGACGCAGATAGTCAGATGTAAGTATGTACAAATGTACTAGTTAGACCGAGTAAGCGACCAATGAGGGTCTGAATTGAGGACAAAGGGCGAGACTGGCTTATCAAAGAAGACGCCAGGGACGAGGAATAAGAGTAGACGGAGGCGGGGCTCTGAGGTCGTAAGCTGCAGAGACGGTAGTTATCGGATTATAATTATTGGGCCTTGTTGGTCTTCAGTGAAGAACCAGGAAGAAGGAAAAAGCCGGGTGGTAGTCAGTCTAGGACCACTGTTCACCAATTGAATGAAGCCGAGTGAACCCAGGCACCGAGCAAGAGAGCTAAGGGGATGACAAAGAGGGATTGAGTGAAGGTTAAGTTTAAGATTTAAGAAAAAAGAAGAGGAGGAAAAGGAAGGTCACGGATGGCGACCTGGAATGCCTTGAAGCCAAGAAACTGGTGCTTGGTGCTTCCTGATGCTGGGAAGCAGCTTTAAGGCGGCGGGGAAGAATTGAGGGAGTGACCTCACTTTAGAGACCGGCGCGCGGACCAAGTGACCCAGGTTTGGGCCGAAGAAGAACCAAGAGCAGTAGTGCCGGGAGTCCACCTAGAGCTCCTCACTAGCAAGTTCATCGACAGGGAAAAAGCAGTGAGAAGGAAGACGGAGTGGGCCAGCGAGCAAGCAAGAGTCAGTTTTGTTATTCCGGAATGTTGCAAGTGTAGGTTAGAAAAAATGATTATCGATCACAGCAACACACTCTGACAGGTTGCTTGTGACTCCCTTCTTTTTATTTTTGTCTCCTTTTAAATATTTTTTTGAGGGACTCTCCTTTACAGCCTATCGCTTTCACAGGAAAGAGATGACGAGAAGTGGGGGGAAGAAAAAAAAAGAGGTGTGGTGGAAAGATGAGTTAGGGGAAAGAATATTGGGGGGGAAGGGAACAAGGGGACAAGAGTAGTAGTTCCGACGAAAGTGGGCGATGAAGTCAGAGATGACCAGCGGTCGCAATGGATGCGGGAATCTGGCCAGCCACTCACACTCGTCCTTGGCTTTGGATGATGCCAACACTTCCAGTTTCCCCTCAACAAGGGAAATCTATTATGAGTTACTTACTGAGGTACTACTTCCTCGTTTCAGGTCCTACCCAGATCAAATGGCCTGATGACGGTTCAACATTGTAATGTCACCCCAGCAGTAATAAAGGCTACTATCTTTAACCCTGATCAGTAGTATAGAATCCAACCTGACTACTCCATCTACAAAGTAACATGCTGGGTGGCGGCGTGGGGAGAAAAGCAAGTCATCTGCATACTTTTGATGAATGTTGATCCCCGCAAAGGTACGAACAAACACGAGCATTGCAGGATTTCACTCACTTACTCACTCACTCTATCTCCCTTCTTGTTAACCTTTCTTCCCTTCTTGCTGCCCGAGAGGCGCTTTCGATCGGGTGGTAAAATCAAATACCCCGCTGTTATGGACGGGTCTGGACTCTCTATACTACTTTGATCCCAACATTAATGGATTCATTGACTCTGTATATCTTGATGCTTCTGAAACTCACTACGTCTTATGATAACAGCCACATTCCTTAGTGTAGACAAAAGGTCTGACAAAATACTGTCTGGTGGTGAGATAACTGCTATGCACTTCAGTTGATCAATTTTTACCTAATGGCATTCCATGGCACACTCGGCGCATAGACTTACAAGCAAAAATCGTATGTTTGACTTAATTCGCGAGGGAACTTCTTTGTCAGATAAGATCAGTGCGCAGGATGCAAGTCAGTAAGTAGTCTTGGTAGCTCAAGTTCTGATGTGGGGACATAACCAGGAAACACATTTCCCACCCATTATCTCTCTCTACCTGGTACTCGGATCTCGCTGCTCCCCAAGGTTAACTGGACGATAACTAGAGTCTCGATAAGTCATAATGAAGTCGGTCTCAACCAATCACTACTATTTACAGAGGCTCCATTCCGTTCCTCCATGGGAACTATATGGCATCATAACTAGCCTATTTATGTTTGTTTGTTGCTTCTGTCTTGGTTAATCTGAGACAAGCTGTTCTCGATACTCTTGCTACATTCGGTGTCATTCTTGTTGTGTGGTAAGACTGATGCGATGGAATCAGACCGCCAGTTGACAAGGTTATTAACGCCGAAGGAAGGGGGAGCGAATTTGTTAAAAGCTTCGATAGTATAATGATGTGACGATCTATGTTCTTCTCGTTGATGGGCACAATATATCTATACTGTGTAGTATTAGAGGCATGTAAGGGATGATGGTTGTGAATGACAGGAATAACATCATATGTTTATGATTAGGTGAATATGCACGCATTGCATGGCGGTCACAGGCATCTTCTTACATCGAGAGCGGCTACCATCGGATCCCTAATAACATTTGCCATATAATCCCGAAACAAAGATCTACTAATATATCTACTATGATAATAACTTAACAACCCAGCCCTTCTCGTAATATCTCAAAGCGCAGATCGTCCAGTTTCCAGAACCCATCGCCCATCAGCATCTCGGCTTACCCGGCCTTCGTCCTCTAATTTCTTCAGAACAAGCAACACTCCATTAGAAGCAGGCAGGTGAAGGCTTTCCGGCACATCTTTGTAAATCACCTTGACTAGTTCCAGTGGGGTCCAGGACCGTTTACGCTCCGGAGATGTTTCCCCATCTGCGACATCGAGGTGATTATATCGGAGAACGCGAACCACTTCATCCTCTCGCTGTTGGCGGTGCTTGATGTACTCTGTGATCTTTGCTGTCGCATTCTCGATAACAGCTCCGTGGCCAGGATAGCCGCGACCCGAAACCCGGTTCTGCATTCGCTTTAGGCTAGAGATATAGGACGAGAGGTCCTCAAAGACACTCGTGCCATGGCCCAAGACATCTGACAAGCGCAGTTAGCCATGAGGCAGGAAGTAGAAATTGCCATGATACTCACGATCGCCCGTAAAGACAGAATCTTCTTCCTCAAGGACAAACATCATATGGTCAACCGTATGACCCGGGGTATGGTATGCTCGTAGTGTTGCACCTTCAACACTGAAGATCTGACCGTCTTCAATGCTCTCCTGGCCGAGGTCTGGATCATTCTTGTAGATGATAGCGTCTGGACATAATGCTAAGAGGTCAGGAACGCCTTTAACATGGTCTGGATGCCAATGCGTGAGGAGTGCCTGATGCACAGTTGCATTCTCTTCTGCCAAAAGAGTCTTGAGCCGGGCTGCCCAGGAGGGTTCACCCTGACCGGTGTCAATAAGGATGCGTTGGCGACCTCGCCCGATTAGATACGTATTCGTGCCTGTTGGAAATTCGGTTAGGATGACACGCCTGTACCGCTAAAAGTGTGTGTGAGAGAACAAACCTTGCAGAGTGAACTATAAGAAAGGTATATTAGTTTCTATGTCCATCAAGACCGGCGTGTTATCTCAACATTGACTCACCTTGCCGGGATTGCCCCCCAATATCCGTACGACCGAGGCGCTGAGCCTCTCCACCTCCGCCAGAGAGACTAGCTGGGTAGCCATGTCTCCAGCATATACCACACTTCAGTGCGATTGATCTGCGACTGCCAGTCACCAACTCGCATTAGCCATCTGCGCTACGTCGGATACTTTGGTTGGGTCCAGGAGCAAGCATTGACTCTAGAAATTGCGCAGGATATAGGCATACTTACAAGTATTTTCACCTACCACAGAGGCAACCGAGCAATCACTTGAAGTATGTACTATTGGCGGTCAATATCGTAGCCTTCTATATAGGATTTAGTACTCAGCAGGATGATCAGAGTAAGAATAGAAAATCATTAGAGACTCACGAGCAATTAGGCCAGTGGGTCAGCTGTACTCAGTCACGTGGGGTATCCAGAGAAGAAAGAGGCCGACAGTGATATTCTTTCAATCTTGGATGCAGCTGAGAGATTGTGAGCAGAGAGGAGCAGATACTATGAGTCTACTCTATCTGAACACTCCTTATCATGATGGATCGGCTATACTATCATAGTCACGTTTCCGAGGCGGGGTGAACAGCCGTGTAGGCCTCGGCTGAGAAGGGAACTTAGTTATGTCAGCACCAATGAAGTCAGGCCGATTTGCAGCAAGTCGCAAAATCGGGCAAATTGTAACATATTTATGTCCGAATACGCCATTGGAGGTGTAGTGACCGTTCTGCTCACCGGGAGTGCTACAGCAAACTGATTACATCGTCTACGGGCAAGATCCATCTTGGAACAGAAGGAAATGTGGTATGCACGCAAGCCCTAACATACAGTGTATGATATAAAACAAAAACAAAGATATATCCATGTAGTCCACCGGAAAATCACAGGGGTACAAAAGAAAACAGGCCCAGAGCGGCAACAGAAACAAATCGTTAAATTTTTCGAAAGACGACGCCGGATATTCCCATCATAGAGGTACCATAGGCAGCCGCTTTCGCGTCCAATGCAGTTGTTTGGCATCAGAGCAGACTGCCATGGCGCGAGGGTAGGATAACCAAACCCCGCAAGCAGATCTTTCAGGTATCATATCTTTTCGCAACAAACAGAAAAACAGCGATCATAATATACAGACGGGCTTATGAGGCCCATGTCATGCATGTTGGCAATCGCCATTTCATTTAGTTATCAGCCTTGCGGGCCATGGTGTTGAGGGCGGAACCATCGCGGAACCACTCAATCTGGGACTCGTTGAAGGTGTGGCTGAGCTTGACGTCGAAGGAGGCACCGTCCTTGGGGTGGACACGCAGAGTGACGGGCTTGCCAACCTCGAGCTCAGTGCAGAGGAGGTCGACCTTGTCCTCGGGCTTGATCTTGTCGTAGTCGGCGGGGTCGGAGAAGGTAAGAGGAAGCATACCCTGCTTCTTCAGGTTGGTCTCGTGCTAAAGGAAGATGTTAGTTCGCGTTCAGATTTTTGTGATAGTAAAGAATGGATAGCACTTACGATACGAGCGAAGGAGCGGGTGATGATGGCAAGACCACCAAGGTGGCGGGGCTCCAGAGCGGCGTGCTCACGGGAAGAACCCTCACCGTAGTTCCAGTCACCGATGACAACCCACTTGATGCCACGGGCCTTGTAGTCACGGGCAGTGGCGGGGACAGCATCGTACTCGCCGGTGAAGGCGTTCTTGACCTTGTTGGCCTCACCGTTCTCGGCGTTGATGGCACCGATCAGCATGTTGTTGGAGATGTTGTCAAGGTGACCACGGTACTTCAACCACGGGCCAGCCATGGAGATGTGATCGGTGGTAGTCTTGCCCTGGCACTTGATCAGGATAGGGATGTCAGTGGCATCCTTGCCATCCCACTTCTCGAAACCAGCAAGGATCTGGAGACGGTCACTGGAAGGAGAGACAGCGACGTTGACGCCGTCGCGGTTGGTGGGAGGAGCCTGGTAGGTGTCACGGCCGGGGTCGTAGCCCTGAGCAGGGAGACCCTCACCGGTGGGAGGCTTGAGCAAGAACTCCTTGCCGTCCTTGTCCTTCAGCTTGTCGGTGAGAGGGTTGAACTTGAGGGTACCGGCAACGGTCATGGCGACGACAAGGTCGGGAGAGGCGACGAAAGCGTGGGTGGCGGGGTTGGCATCGTTACGACCGGTGAAGTTACGGTTGTAGGAGGAGATGATAGAGTTGGGCTCACCCTTCTTGACGTCCTTACGATCCCACTGTCCAATGCAAGGACCGCAGGCGTTGGCAAGGATGACACCACCGTACTCCTCGAGGGTTTTGAGCTGACCATCGCGCTCAATGGTAGCGCGGATCTGCTCGGAACCGGGGGTGACGGTGAAGAGAGACTTGGACTTGAGACCGTGGTCAAGGGCGTCCTGAGCAATGGAGGCGGCACGGGACATGTCCTCGTAGGAGGAGTTGGTGCAAGAGCCGATAAGACCGACCTTCAGCTCCTCGGGCCACTTGTTGGCATCAACGGCCTCCTTGAACTTGGAGATGGGGGTGGCCAAGTCAGGAGTGAAGGGACCGTTAACGTGGGGCTCGAGCTCAGACAGGTTGATCTCGATCAGCTGGTCGTACTCAGCACCCTCATCCTCGCGGAGCTCCTTGGCGTACTCGCGGGAGAAGTTACCAATGTGCTGACGCTTGGTGGCCTTCAGGTAGTCGTACATGCGGTCGTTGAAGGGGAACATGGAGGTGGTGGCACCAATCTCAGCACCCATGTTACAGATGGTGGCCATACCAGTGCAGGACAGGGAGTTGACACCAGGTCCGTGGTACTCGATGATAGCGCCAGTACCACCCTTGACGGTGAGGAGACCAGCAACCTTGAGGATGATATCTAAATTTTACTGTTAACGCTCGTCCGATTGTGCAAGACACATTAGAAATCAACTTACCCTTAGGAGTAGTCCAGCCAGACATCTGGCCGGTGAGCTTAACACCGATGACCTTAGGGGCCTTCAGCTCCCAAGGGAGACCGGCCATAACGTCGACGGCATCAGCACCACCAACACCAATGGCAGCAGTGGCGAGACCACCAGCGTTAGGGGTGTGAGAGTCGGTACCGATCATCAGACCACCGGGGAAAGCGTAGTTCTCCAGAACGATCTGGTGGATGATACCGGAACCGGGCTTCCAGAAACCGATGTTGTACTTGGCAGTAGCGGAGGCAAGGAAGTCGTAGACTTCCTTGTTGATGTCGTTGGCACGAGCAAGATCCTTGTCGCCACCGACCTGGGCCTCAATCAAGTGGTCACAGTGGACGGTAGTGGGAGTAGCGACGGAGGGCATGCCAGCGGACATGAACTGGAGGATAGCCATCTGGGCAGTGGCATCCTGGCAAGCGACACGGTCGGGGCGAAGCTTGAGGTAGGAGCTGCCACGCTCAATCTCCTGTCCGTGGGGGTCGTCAAGGTGAGAGTACAGAACCTTCTCGGCGTATGTGAGAGGACGGCTCAGACGACGACGAACGATGTCGAGGTTCTCGGACATCTTCCTATAGAAGTGGTAGTCATGTTAGCTTACAGCTCATTGGCCTGAGAAGACGCGATTGAGAGATTGCGCCCGATTATCCGAAGAATCAAGAGTGCTATCATACTTGTAGTTGATGTAGTTACCCTACACAGGCATTGTTAGCGGATCATATTCCCAAATCTGGCGCCCGCGCTACCCGAAGCCAGCCGAGACGTAATGGAAAGTTTCACTCACCTTCTCCAGGTTGGTCATCTCGACCTTCTTGTCGAGGGGAGAGTCGGTGACGGTGGCCATACCCCGAGCCCCGAGCATCTGCACATTTGATTAGTATTTCTATTCATCGAACCATCGCACTTCCGCTGTAATTTGGTGATGCGAGCTTGAACTGGATTGCGGGTAAACGCTTACAAGGCGGGACTTAGGGGCCTAGAGAGCAGATCTGATTAGTATCCATTGAGCTACACAGACGCCCAGCTAGATGCATTTCATTCCTGGACAGAATGCCATGACTTCTTCGCCAGACGGGGGACAACGTGTCTGGAATGGACTTACCAGCGCACCCATGCGCGCAAGCCTTGTGGTAATCATGGTGGAAGCTCTCTATGAGGTGGGCAGGGCCGCAACACAGGAGAGCCAATCCAAACAACAGCAAAAGCTAGCTTCGACGAGAGGAAGCAGCAAAAGATGGGGTGGAGTGGGAAAAGAAGAGGAAAGGAAAGGGATAAAGGAAGAAAGGGAAAATGGAGTAGATAAAAAGGAAGCTTGAGTGGGAAAGAATTCTTGTTTCCACCACCGAGAGCGATTTACTGAACCGGAGAAGAGGACCCGTAACCGCTCCTGACAGTACCGACCTTTACGCAAGCGTTGCATGCGACCGGAGAGAAGGAAGGTGGCTGGACCATCCGTGGGACCCCTTTCTTACCGTATGGATACGGATACACCTGTAATTTCCATTTGGCCTGCAGACCTCGCTCCCTCCTTTCTGACCACTCCGTAAATGAAAAAAACTAAGAAGGACCCATAATGGCTTTAGCCGGTCAACGTAAGGTTGCCTTTGGATTCGAAAAGGCCTCACTGTCAGTGGTTTTGCTCCTTTCAGCTGACCCTCAAAAAGCACAGTTTGATCTACTGGGTATTATTATCTCCCCCATGCATTCTCCCCCATGGACTGCCACGAACTAGTGTCTTACCTAGGTAAAACCTAACTTCACTACTGCTGTGTTCATACCTTGTAATTCCGACCAGCCTGTGCGGCGGCGTGCACAGGGCATGTGAGGCACATAGTCCAATCATGTGCCCTGTATTACATCCATTCATCCTGGGGGAACATCATCGACGTCACTCACTTCTACTACATCCTAGCTTAAAAGCTTCATCAAGACTTGCAAACACAGGTCAAAAAAATTATTTGGAAAATTTACATCAATGAGAATGAGATAATATGACGGATTCTACGCGCCCAACCTCGTAAGTAATGCCAGACCGCTTGAATGAGTTGGGTTGCTTAGGAGACATGGTGGCAGTTAGCGTATTATTTCACCTGGATCGCAACTGGACGAGATGCTTTCCGGAGCAACGTGCCGGAACATGGCAACGTCATAAATTACGAGACACCGGGGAAATGGCCGTACGGAAGCGACCAAAAGCGCTGACAGAGCCGAGTCAGAGCCGAGGCCTACCGATGGGAATCCCGCGGCCCGCCGCCAAGACCCAGCTGATTTTGACCAATAATGAGCAACATGTTTCAGGAAATTCTTCTTTCGCACACAAAGGCGGAATTTTGGTGATAAGCGACCCGCTCTTGCACCGCCTAAAGTCTTAGTTTCATTCCGTATATCGGTGGAAAAACACTTTGCGACAGCTCACTAGCAAATCCATCAGGCAGTTCTTTTTTTGGGCCGCAGTCTATCAAAATGGGAGCTGTTAGGAAAATTAAGACGAAGCGCAGGACCAGGTATGTAGGCTAATTTCTGAATGATCACTATTATGAGGGTCCAAATTGGAAGGGCTGCGTAAAGCTGAATACACTGCTAATGATCTGATAAAATCAATAGAGATTATGATCAGGTCCGGGCTGATATCGCGTCCGCGAGACACCTTGAACTATACAAAGCTACGAAAGACGAAGAGGACCTTCCTGGCCTAGGAAAGCATTATTGCGTCGAGTGCTCCAAATGGTTTGAGAGCGAGCATAATATGGCCGCCCATACGAAGGGCAAGAACCACAAGAGAAGGTGTGTGGCCAACATATCTACGATGTCGCGGCCTCGGTCGCAAATACTTTTTGGACACATAAATGCTGACCTATGCGCCTGTTATTAGACTCCGCATCTTGCGCGAAGAGGCACACACACAGAAGGCTGCTGAGGCTGCCGTCGGCTTGGGTACAGACAATGGTGTGAGGTCGCAAGAGACCACCGAGATGGTCATTATGGAGGATTAGATTCTCGCCATGGAGTGAAATTGCCTATCGCAGTGCTCTCTCGACTGTCACTGCGATGCAGGATAGCCCCAAGAGCATCGGCAAGAGCTCTGCTGGCAACATATCTACTCTCAATGGGCTTGAAAAAATTTTTCGCGCATCTACGCCGTTTTGACGTCGTTGTTTCACGGACGATATTACTGGCTGCATGTCGACGAAAGAATCACCCAATCAGCGATGGGCCAAAATCGCTGGATAACACGTGAAACCACATGCGCCGAAAACCGCCAGTGGGGGTGGAAAGTTCCCGGATACGCCGGTTTCGTTCTGCGGTAAAACCATTAAAACTGCCGTTTCTCGGAGCCCCCATCTAGCTTGGCCCCACTTTATCAGACACGGCTCCTTTAGGACGAATTTAATTTACGAGCTGCAATAATACACAGCACTTCAATATTGAGATGCGCGTATCCTTGCGGAGAACTCCGTACGTAGTTTGTAGATGCTTGGGCATTGTTGCATTGTACGTTTATGGATTTTGTAAATACTTCATCAGCCACTCGTATGTCGCCCACTTGGAATGGATCGTTAGCAATGCGTTACACTATTTCAAACCCGGGTTGACATACCTGAACAGCATTGACTATGAAGGCTCTCACACTACAAACTCCTAGGCCGCGATAGAAGGCTTTGAGTCCTTCATTGAGATACGCTTCTTTGGCAATCTGGATGGAGCTTGCGGTGCATGGCTTAGCTGAAGGCTGCATCAAGGGGCGATGTTCAGGGGACAATTCAATCGTTCTCGCCTGCAGTCTTGTCTTGATCACATCTAGAGGGAAGACAGAGGCCCAGGTAACAATCCCAGCAATGCCACCGCATAATAAGACTTTCGTAGCAGCCATGGTCGCATCATCGTCATTAGAGGCCGTAAGCCGCTTGCAGTATTCATAAGACCAAAAGCTGCAAAGAAGGATGTATGTCAATATTCTGTGAAGAGCCTCAATGAAATCGCGGGGGAAGATCCGGGGAAAGGATTCACATACTAAAACCCATAGCCAATTGCATCTCTCGCACAAGTGACCCCTCCTCCGAAATAAAGGCCCGTCCAGCCGCGTGTTCGGACAATGTCTTTCGCAACCGTCCATGACGACACCCCGGGGCGTGAGTCAAGCTGGGCCCTACATTTGATGAACTCCGTCGGAGATGACACAGTCCAGCTGGCCACCCCACCTGCAGCACCGGCAAGCCAGACCTTGCCCAAGGAGACACCTTGTGGGTTTGTAGGGTCAATGATTGAACTATCCAGGAATTTCAGTGATCGGTTATAAGCCACAAAGAGTAGTGCATTGAGGGCCCCATATCCGAGGATTGGGGCAGCGGCGCCTGATGAAACGGTTAATACTAGACGCGTAATTTACATCATCGGAATATTTGCAAACCTCGAACCAGGGAAGTAGCGCTATCAAAGCGATTCAATTGCTGGGGTGTGGTTGATGCGGCGATATCTGGAGTGCGTCCTGCCTGCAACCGCACTTTGATGACATCGAGGGGATTGCCGATGATGATTCCAATGGCACCGCTAAGGTAGCCAGCCCAGAAATCGGAAGACATGGGCCGAGGGGCCAGTGCTGAATGAACGATTCAGCAGCAAATGGTGATAATGAGCATTGTGACTATGGTAGGAACAACCTGCTTATTATCATTCGACGGGCTGAGGTTCCATTGACTAAACGGTCCCACCTCAAGAAGGCGAACCGGACGCTATACTGAAAGGGCTATAGTAGAAACTTTCCATCCATCCGGCCTCCTACTCTTGCTTGCAGGTCCAATAGCATTGTGCTTTTTTGATGCTGAGCAAACTGCATTTTCAGGTGCTTTAGACAGAATACAGTACTATCTTGAGATGAGTGCTACTAGTACGGAAAAAGAAATGTGTGTGTCATGCAGTAGGGCTGCAGAGGTTCATGCCAAGACTATATATATTATGCAGATCATGCAGCAGCATGTATTGTAAATGCTATCTGGGCAAAACTCCAGAAGTGGCCGAACATCCCTGGCAGTAGTACTAGTATGTCCTCTATATAATCAATCGTTTTTAGTCGAGCTAGGTTTATGTAGAGAATGCTTGAAGGTTCCATTTCCTTGGATGCATCATTCAAGTGCCGCTTCGCTAACCGGACGTTGTGTTTAAGGCCATGGCACGTACACATGCTGTTGAATAAGCCGAAATCCGGATATAGTGTGATCTAAGAATTACTCAAGTACTAACTAATATATTTCATCAAAGGACTTGGCTCAAAGTGGATTTGCCTAGCGAGATACCTCTATGAGCCGGGCTACTCCATACTATTGCCATGAACAATCACGTGACAGCGTGATACTTTGGTGTTGCCAACAAGATGCGGGCGACGCGCTAGGCAGTGGCAAACACGCGTCGAGTTCGGCCGGTCAATATTGACAACCACAACCGCCAACTGACACGATCCTAGCCAGCCACGAGTATTTGATAGAGAAGTGCTAATGTAAGATCAATAATGACTTCCTCGAATTTATCGCGCAGCACAAGCTTACGTATTCAGGTACCGGCCACGGCCAGTCGTAAACCAAGATGGTGCAGGCACACCGTCCAAGCCGCTGCAGGCCAGCTCCACGAACAGCGTCGACCGTCTATCGAAACCCTTCAAATGTCCAGGTCTAGCAACGGCTACAAGGGCGTCAGACAAGCCAGCGAGGAAGCGTAGGAAGGTGAACTATGCAGGGGCCGATGGCACGGTGGACGACGATAGCGTCAAGCCTTATACAAACGAGGACCGCTTAGCGCTGGCAACAAGAGATGCGAACAGGTTCCCTAGCTTCAAGGTCAAGGACAAGGAGATGACTTTCAGACAAAGATTTAAGATTCCTCTAATCAATAAGTCATCTGATGCCTATAACAGCTCTAGGCCAGCGCCTACGCTTGGTATGAGGCAAGGCGCTACATTTGTTGTGAAGCCATTGCATGATCCGAGCGGGGAGTTTGCTATAGTGCTATATGATCCTACAGTCGATGATGTCAATGAGCCAGAATCGAAGGAAGAGAACACGGCCGATTCAGAGGAGCAGAAGCCAAAATTGGATGAGCCATTGGTACACAAGAGCTTGGCAGATATTCTTGGGCTCAAGAAGAAGACTGAAGGGCGACCGAAGGTCCCGGTTGTTATAGATCCACGACTGGCGAAAGTGCTACGACCCCACCAAGTTGAGGGTGTCAAGGTTAGCATTCGCTCCGCACAGGCTCTGTTGCTATGTACTAATGCTCCGACAAAAGTTTCTTTATCGTTGTACAACTGGCATGGTTGACAAGAATGCGAATGGTTGCATCATGGCAGATGGGATGGGTCTGGGCAAGACGGTGAGCTGAACATCCCGTGACACGGAACAGAAGACTAATGGTGCTGATAGCTTCAATGTATCTCATTGATGTGGACTCTACTCAAGCAGTCCCCGGAAGCGGGAGTAACAACCATACAGAAGTGCATCATCGCTTGCCCGTCAAGTTTGGTCGGAAATTGGGCCAATGAACTTGGTGAGTTGGCTTCGCTACTGGATCACACATCTGCTAACAGTTGCAGTGAAATGGTTGGGCAAGGATGCCATCACACCATTTGCGGTCGACGGTAAAGCCTCGAAGACGGAGCTCATCAGTCAGATGAAACAATGGGCCATTGCTTCGGGTCGGTCTATTGTCAGACCAGTACTCATTATATCATATGAAACACTCCGGTTATACGTCGATACACTGAGGGACAGTCCCATCGGCCTACTTCTTTGTGACGAAGGACATCGACTGAAGAACAAGGAGAGTTTGACATGGACAGCGCTCAATGGCCTGAATGTACAGCGTCGAGTAATCTTGTCCGGCACTCCCATTCAGAACGATCTCTCGGAATACTTTGCTCTTCTCCATTTTGCGAACCCTAATCTACTGGGGTCGCAGAATGAGTTCCGGAAAAGGTTTGAGTTGCCTATTCTCAGAGGAAGAGATGCCGCAGGAACCGAAGAAGACCTCAAGAAGGGTGATGAGCGTCTTGCAGAACTCTCTAGCATCGTAAACAAGTTTATCATACGACGCACGAACGACATTTTGTCAAAGTACTTGCCCGTCAAGTACGAACATGTTGTTTTCTGCAACATGTCCGAATTCCAACTGGGCCTCTATAAGCATTTCATTCAGAGTGCCGAAATCAAAAGCTTACTCCGCGGAAAGGGAAGTCAGCCCTTGAAGGCAATCGGCCTTCTAAAGAAACTTTGCAACCACCCGGACCTCCTTAATCTCTCTAATGACCTTCCGGGTTGCGAGTACACCTTCCCGGAGGACTATGTCCCACCGGAAGCACGAGGGCGTGATAGAGATATCAAGTCTTGGTATTCAGGAAAGATGATGGTCTTGGATCGAATGCTAGCGCGCATTCGCCAGGATACTAATGACAAGATTGTTTTGATTAGCAACTACACCCAGACCCTCGACCTGTTTGAGAAGCTGTGCAGAACCCGGGGATACGGCTCCTTGAGACTAGACGGAACCATGACGGTTGGGAAACGACAGAAGCTGGTCGATAAGTTCAATAACCCCGACGGGGAAGAGTTTGTCTTCCTGTTGAGCAGTAAGGCTGGTGGCTGCGGCCTGAACCTAATAGGTGCAAACCGCCTTGTTCTTTTTGATCCCGATTGGAATCCAGCTGCCGATCAGCAAGCTTTGGCACGAGTGTGGCGTGATGGCCAGAAGAAGGACTGTTTTGTCTACCGTTTCATCGCGACTGGATCAATTGAGGAGAAGATCTTCCAGCGTCAGTCTCATAAACAGTCACTTTCTTCGTGCGTCGTGGATTCGGCCGAGGATGTCGAACGGCACTTCTCGTTGGAATCCCTCCGAGAGCTCTTTCAATTCAAACCGGAAACGCGGAGCGATACGCATGACACGTTCAAATGCAAGCGATGCCGACCGGAGGGAACACAATACATCAAGGCGCCAGCCATGTTGTACG